ACTCTTAATAGCTCATTCCTTGGTTATTTATAGGTCTGGAAATTTTAATTTTAGCAAATGCAACTTTTTTTGGTTGGGATTTTGGAGGGGTAGGGAAGTCAGAACAGCAGCGAGGAAATGCCAGAGGATTTCTCTTGCACTGCTTATTTGCTACGATGGCCAGGTGCCTTCAGATCAGGTGAACTGAGAAACACCAATGTTGCGAGCAAGCTTTCTGTCTGGCATCTCTGCCAGATCACATAAAGCCTGCACGATGTCTGCATAAACCAGCGTGCAGATTCAGGGCAGGATATTTGAACAAAAAAGGAAGCTATACGATCTATATTGTGCCCATGTCAGATGCAGGCAGTCATTCGCTACAGCACGGAAGTTTGATCAAAATGCAGTCAGGATAGCTATATTTATCACAAGCGCAAAACTGTTCAGACTTCGGTATCATACCAGCACTTGTTCTGTGTGCGCATACGTTTTACAGGATGCAAGCTTATATCCCTCTAACTGAAAAAACGCGATTCCCTCATCATCAAGAGCAAAATCATGTAAAAGACATTACAGACATAGGAGGTGGGGGCTGCACACAAATATCTTCAAAAAATTCAAAATTGTAATAAAATGTGTGTATATTACTATGTCCGTAAGTATCATGTACTCCAGATATATCCCACGGAAATACTGCATATCCCCTACAAAATATTTTAAGACACAATAAACCATGAGATTCAATATCCTACTATACATCAGGCCTGGATTTTCTCATCTATAACGCACTGGCTGTTGATTGTCCTGAGCATTAGGCTAGCTATACTATGGGGGAAGAGAAATACCTTGCTTCAAAAGTGCTTTTGCAGTGGTTTGATAAAGTGCAAACAAACAAAACAAAAAAAAAATTTGGAAAACCCAAGCCTGTTTGTGAATACTAACAACAATCATCTAGAAAATCCTTTTGTAGAAAAAAAATTCAGGTGAGATAATACCAGTGGGAAAATCAATGTCATTTGATCACTGCCATATTTTCAAAGCAGTGCCCAGATACTAATTAATCTCTACAATCTCTTCGTTTGGTAGGTGACTTGTTATCTTCCTTTCACGGAAAAGGTTACAGGAACTCAAGATAAGGGGTACATCTAAATGTTCAAAAGCCCTCAGAGAGTTTGTTCCAGAATTATCAAAAGAATTTCCAGACTTTTCTTGGGCCAATTGCCCATGTCGCTCTCGTCTTCGTCATAAAAGCTTCTCTAACTCTATATATACACTCAGAGAAAGAAAGGGGATAATTCAATAGGGACAAAACAAAACAAAAACTTTATTAATATCAGTTTAAATACGGTCTGTAGTATTTCAGTTATTTAAAGTGCGGAAGTAATAAGAGACTTCTGCACTAAAAACCAAAACAAGGCAAAACTGTGAAAGTGAAGTATGAAAATGCTAAGACTAAGGCTGAGTAGAGAGATGGAAGGACTAACATTAAATAAATAAATGCAATAGGCCTGCCTGCCTGATCACTTTAGAGCAGCTCCCAACAGACTGAGGTAGAGTAGAGCTTCTGTGCAAGGGGTTGGAAATAAGAATTGATGGTAGAACAATTTCTTTACAACCCTTTGGAGACTGAAGAGCCAAAACAGGAGGGAAATGAGATCTAGGCCACTTGCAAGATGCGCCAATTTAATGGAATGCACGAGATGGCCCAAAATTGAGCCCTAGATTAAATTCCAGGTTGCCTTCCCCATCAAAAGAGGTCTGGAGAGGAAGCAGAAATGAAGCGAGCTGTGCGTATGAAACACAAGAAGTTTTCAACCCAGCATCTGCGTATGCTGCTAGTCTAGCAATAAAATCTGCAAACCCAAGGTAAAGAATGAAAATACACACTGCAGCACATAATTCAGAACAGGCTTGGCTTTTCCACGTGAATTTGCAGCATCCTTTTACCTTGCCTCCTTGATACCAAAAATTTGAGACTAAACCTCTGGACAGATGCTTGCGATTCCACGGCAATTCAGAGCCATACATTTGCTCTGGTCCATTCCGAGCACTCCAAGTCATGTCAAGTCATTCCCCGTGATGTGGGCTCATATATTGAGCAATAAACCTGGCCTTCAGGAGTGACCATAGCAGTCATGGAGCGAGACAATTACCAGATCTTCAAAAGAGACCTTGTACTCAACTCTCCTAATGAGAGCAAGAGTCACAGTGGTATTTTACTGAGGAAGGCATCAAGAGTTCATACCTGTACGCCCCAAGGTTTTGGCTGGACAAGGAAGCAAATGGCAAAAATAATAAAAAGAAAAAAAAAAAGAAAACCCACTCAAGCAGATGATGCTGTTGTTTTCAAAACTCTATAATAAAGACAAACTTGATCTCAAAGTTTGTTTGCTCACGTATTTTCAAGCTATTAAATATACCTGCACTAAAAAAATAGCTTGCTTGGGCTTTTTTTGCAGTACATAGAATATGAGTATTCTGATAAATATGAACAATTTTTTAATACACAAAATGCAAGATTAATTAAGAAAATACAGTAAATTCTAAGTGAGGATGGTGATTCTCAGTTTTCCATGCTTAGATGGGTCTTTGGAGATGCCACGCATTGAGCACAGCAACTTAAATACTTTACAACAAATGGTTCCGTACCTACACAAAACAGAGCACTGCTAATGACAGTGACAAAACCCGGTAACTACTCTCGTTTCCACTTTGAGTCATTTTTCTGTGGTTAATAAATTATATCCATAACAGTGTTAATAAGTTATGGTACGGTGTCACTGCATTAGTTTGCATTTGTGATGAAGCACTTCATATGGCATTACCTATGCCCGTGGAAGTACATAACAGGAGAGACCACTTCTCTGCTCTCCGAAGAGTCTCCCATGCTGGCATTTTGATGGACCCTCAAAGGAAACATTGCCTCCTGACCTCCGCCTTGCTCTTACTTCTCACCTCTGTTGCAGCAGCACACCACTGCAGGACAACTCTCCAAATTTAGTATGTTTAACAAAACACAGACACTCTTTAATCAGTGTCCTTTCCATAGGAGCAATATACAATGAGTTATTAGTTAGGCAAATACGGGAAGCATTCAGGTCGATTTAGTCGTGTGAAAAGGACATCATCAAATCAAAGTGTCCTCCCTCAAGCTCCTGGAGGGAAATGGGAAGATTTAGACTGACTGATGGGCTCTCAATCAACTGCTGTAACAGCTCGGTTTTCCAAAAGTTAAGAATAAATAAATGTATTTAAACCTTAATGTGATTTGGTCCTTCAAGAAAAAAGAACAGCAGAAGCTATTTAAATTCTTGCAACCCAACTACCGCAATGCTGGTGAAGATACAGATGACAAAAGCAATAAGCATGCTTTAAACAACAGAGGGAAGCTCATGGCTTTAAGTATATTCTTTTTACAAATAAAGAAGTGCAAACCAGTAAACAAGCAGCCCCAAAACAGAATTCTGCAATCTGGGGTTTTGGTCATCTCAAGCGCTAACTTCAAGAGCTGTTATCAGGCAAGATGGTTTTTGTCCATTAAAATTATTATATAACAATTCAGTGTGGTTTAAAAAAAAAAAAACAAAACAACTTTTTAACAGAATGTAATTATTGAATTGTCTCCAGTACCATGATACCGTCTCTAGTGAAATATCTCTCTAAAAAAAAACTTTTTTTCTGCTTTATTATTGCATCATCTACACATATACAGAAGATACTGTGTGAAACACTATGACCAAATAGAAATGAAATATTCCGTCTCAACAGAATTTACTTGCTTTCCATCAGTATCAAGAAAAAAAACTAACAATATTAGATAAAAATGGAGAAAAATCCGAAATTATCTGCAGCCTCCATAAGCCAGCAGCGCAAAAGCTCACATACTTTTGTAGTAGGTACGTACAAGATAACTTTGCAGACATATTACTGGAATGGTTTGCAACCAGTGAAGATAATTTTGATTATTTCCACTTCAAAACTTCCTATATTGGAGCCACATCACTGAAAACAATCTAACCTTAGGGGAAAAAAAGTGATGGGAAAACAGCCTGCTAATATATCCGCTGGAAAGACAGACAGAGAGAGAGAGTAGTCCTCTATAGATTAACTGAAGTCTTTCGGAGACAAAGACTCCAATATTCTGAGCAAGAGAAATAAAATCCCCATAAAAATACCTTCACTTCCTTAATTTCCTTTTTCCCCCTCCCTACTACAACTAGCATCATTTATTTGTATACTCAATTTGTCTCTACTGCACCACAACAAAATACATTTTAAAATTTAAAAGGTAGAATTAAATATGATGTTCCCACCACAGCATCACTGGACAGCGTACTGCATGGAAAAATAAGTTGCGCCTTCACGGTAATTTGACAAAAGAATGACAAAAAAAGGCAAAAAAGAACAATACGACTAAGGCTTGAGGAAGGCATCGGTTCAATATTTAGCAATGCATAAACTGAGGTTTCATTTTTGTTTAGGTATATTTTGATTAGAACTAATAAATGGCTGATTTTCCTTTGGTTGTTTGCAACAACAACACATCATCCAAAGAGCTTTATTCTTTATTCCCTTCTCACATAGCATGCCAAAGACTGTCTCATTTTATGAATTAGCATTTAAAACTACTGTGGGTTATCTAACAAGCATTCAGATTCAATAGTACTTTTGACAGCAGTAAGTAAAGAGCCTTTTAACATCTTGAACACATGTGCTTGAAAAAAGTAGTTACATCAAAGCAGTTCAAAGACCGAAGACAAAAACCAGTTAAAATCCAGTTTGCTGTGAGACAATTTCAGTGTGGTGTAAACAACCTTTCACGACTCCCCATGGGAAGCGTTGTAAGACTATGTTCAAAATGATTCAGGCATATTTATAAAGATCATGAAGTGGTCAAATGAATTTGCATTTTTGGCAGATTCACTCCACGGGTACTACTTGCTACAGTCTGTAGAAATCTCAAATCTCACATCAGCGTTGCCTATAGTGCTTTATTATTTATTACATGTTATGCTAAGTACCTGTGAAAGGGGACATTCCTTGGCCAATGAACTCTGGTTCATATCCTTCAGTAAGTCCTTCAGAGCATTTCTTACTGTTGTGTGAGACCATTGTTCAGGAGGCAAGTCTTCTAGTTTAGGGCAACTATTTGAAACACAGATTAGAAAAGGGATTATTACAAGATTGCATCCTGCTGCAGAACATTCCTTTAAGACAGACAGATTTCATTTTGCGCATCAAGCAGATGCATCTGGAGATTGCTCTCGGTCTCCTGATTGTTCCGATTAGTTAATTACTTTATACAACACATCTGCTGTATTGATGCATGAATTATACATCAGCTGCATGTGGCGACTATTTTTTCATGTTACTTCTACCTTCCTGCTCTGATGCGCTTGGTAAAACAATTTAAGGTGTAATGCTTTCTCACGACTGATCATGAAAAGCATTAATATATTAACCGTTTTTTTCTTTTTTGTTACCATGAAATTTAAGAACCTAAACAGCAACAATAAGTGTGAGCAAGTCATTCTTTTACAAAATGCACACAGATGGTACTGTTCATGATATGCAAAAATATTTTTCTCTTAAGTAAACTTTATGTAAAATGCCTTCTTGTAATGCATCATTTAATTGACTAAAATGCAATATAGTTTTAATGAGATATCCAAAGAAAATCTATGTATCAGAGCTATAAAAGTTTTCTGCAATAGTATACTGTAAGTTAAAGAAGAATTAGAGTAACTAAAAAGGAATTTAGAGAAGCCTTTGTACTTTGAGCACACAGCACAGTGGGAAATAAATACAAGCAATATTAACAGTAAGAGCAGACAAGTAACAGTTCACATCCCAGAACTGGTATGCAACTTACCTGTGTAACTGGATTTTCAGTGTGACCACATGATACACGTCTTGCAGCATGTCTGCTACTGTAGCATCAGGGGCATCTGTCACATAGGAGAGTGGAACTGGATTCCACTTCCCAACCTGGATAAGCCCTGCGGGATTTTTATTTTGTAAGGGGAGGGGGAGTGGGCAAGAAGGGCAGGAAAAATTGAAAAGAAAGGAAAAAAAAAAAAGTAATTTACCTATTAATTCCTAGGGGTAAAATAAACACCTGATTTTAACAAGATCACCACCTTTGTTTCTAGCCTCTTAAATCTGACAAAACAAAAGAATACCCCCCCCAAAAAACCCCCGCCCACGCACCACCAAGGATATGCTTTATCTATATTATGAAATTATACAAATGCACTACAGTCGAGATTTTTTTAATATGGATAGAAGTGTATTTTCCTAAGTTCCCATGCATTCAATAGGACATGATATAATAGTTAGCATTCCTTTTAATAAATTAGGGAGGATTTTGCAATGCAAGGACCAAGTGAAAAAAAAAATAAAAATACTTTGCAGTCTATAAAACCATCAGGAACAAAATAAAAGAAACAGAGCTGGATATTCAGTCATAAATGCAAGTTGACTCTCAACAGTCCATCTGCTCAAATATGCTTTACACTTCCTTGTGGATCCTCAGTGGAGCAGATTATTAAGGTCAATAAGCATACTAATGATTCAGTTGAAGTCTTTTTTTTTCTTTAAACAAAAGGAAAAAAAAAAAAAAGAATCTACCTCCACGTTCCCCACGAACAAAACGTGCACTAACTAAACAAAAATACATTAAGGGGGGAAAAAAAAAAAAAAACAATCACAGAGACAGAATCTGCAAGAAGTTTAAGAAGTAAAACCTGCATTGCATTCCTGAAAGAAAACCTGCCCCTCCCCCAAGATCCCACAAACAAACAGAATTCATCGTACAATTTCGCAATCTTATTTACCTTTTGCTTGGGCAGCAGAGCTGTGAGAATATCCGAGAGATAGCAATGCCATTTCAATCAGTTGGTTGAAAAGCATATCCTTCCTCACCAACACAAATTCTGCATGCTCCTCCTTAGAATCATACTCAATGGCATTTTCATAATGTTCCACTACACAGAAAACTGGAAGCATACTTCCTATTAAAAAAAATTAAATTTAATGTATTAAACTTGAGTTATAGTAGAATAGGTGGGTCTATACAGCGTTATGTAAATAAAACCTGTATGAACAGGCAGAGGAGGCATCACGAATCATCACAAATATTTGATAAACATATTCCCCGAGTCCTTTCCCCTTACCCTCCCCCCCAAAAAAGAGAAAGTTCTACAAAACATACATCCCTCCGAAACGCAGAAATGCAAATTTATCTCGCTTGATCGGATACAGATTAAAGAATTACCTGCTATAGAAACAACAAGGTTGACTGAAGAGAAGTTGATTCTCTCTGTCCTGCCTGATTTGTTGTGAGTAGCAGGCAGCATGAGAACCTAAATACATACTGCAGATGTCTTCACTGTAAGCCATTTTAGTACCAGCTACATAATTTTGTTCGTTAACATTAAAACTTTCTTAGTCCTGCCAAAAATATTCAATTGCCTTCAACACCACCAACAAATCACCTTGCGTGTTATACATTCACACACAAGGAGACAAGGCAAAAGTTAACACTAATTCGTGCTTCATTCATGGAGTGCACTTGAGCACTACTTTCACTCGCATCTTTAAGAAACAAATCATGATTTCAATGCCGTTTTAAGAAGCGTACCTGCAGCTTGGGCTTTTTTTTTTTTTTTTTTTTTTTTGATGTTGTTGTTGTTCCCTCCTGTACTTTACGTTCAACATTTCTGGTATTCATTGCTATTTTGGTATGCCTGAAAGTAATGATTAATTTCTAGTTTTGTAGCATCATACGACAAACCCTTCCCTATACTGCAGAGAGTATTAAGCAAACAACCTTTTTCCCCCTTTCCTTTGGCTATTTTTAGGTTGTTTTTTTTTCCCCTCCCTTTTGACAACAGACAGAGAAGTAACAAATGACCCAAGCTGGTTTAGGGACAAAGTCTCGCCCAGCAATCGGATTTCTAGACTTTGTGAAAACCCTTCCTGACCTCCCAGACAGATGCGGATGACACGATGACCTCAGACCCACGGTTTTAGGCCCCGGTCCTGTCCCGCTGTCTCCAGCAGCACAGGTAAGGATCTCTTAATGACAGAAAGTAAAAGGGTTAAAAGCAGATGTACAGAACTGTCTTATGGCAGACTGCCAGAGGGGTATCATCTTTAGCATAAATGATGACAAGGGTTATTTTAACAGGGCACCCAGGAACTCCAATTAGTCCTACAATGTTAATGCCTCTATAACCACTGCCCTCTAGACTTATGGAAACCTCCTAACCTGCTAAGGTGCACCAGACATACCGCAGTCGAAGAAGAAGATTTACTCTTGACAATAGATACATGCTTTAAGACCGCGTCTGTTGATTTGTTCTCTAACGTATAGCAAGAAATCACGATAAAAAAGATACCTCTTAAGCACGTATATTTAAACTACATCTGTTCACCAGAGAGTCAATCTCTGGCAAACAAACCCCTTCAGGCTCGCTTGGAAAAGCTCACAAACTCACTCCAGTTTGCCCAATAGGCTCAGCATGAAAGACAAGACTAAAAGCTTGCCAATATTTATGTAGTGCAGGAAGGAGCTTTTTTTTTTTTTGTCTTCTTTTTTTTTTTTTTAAATCTAAGTAAGACTGGTCAGGAAGGGAGAGAAGACCAAAGCAAAAGCACTATGTGCAAATTGGCGATTTCTTCATTGTTTTAATTAAGCTGTGGAGAGCTTTCTAAAACACACACACGCTTCATCTGCAAAAAGGTGGTGGTTTTTGGTTTTTTTTTTTCCTTCCAGGCTCTCACAATTGATGTTTGACCTACTACCGTCTGACTCAGAGTAAGGGCTCAAAATTCTTAACAAGTTTCACCCGTTAATACCTGAAGATAAAACATAAACAAAGCTTCATTTTAACAAACAGTGCAGATACACTCAAAACCAGCTAAAGCGTATTTGTTTTTTCCCTTATCAGCTCCTACAAATTAAGCTATGATCAGACACAAAACTAGCAATGCACAGGTACTTCGCTGCACATCAGCACACTTTTTGCCAGGTACACGGTCTCCTGAGTTGCAGCGTTCCGAAAAATGCAGTATTTTAAACAACACGGGAGAACCTCCTGGCCAAATTTTGATGCACGGCATAGATTATCAGAGGTGGATCCTGGTAGTGCGACACAGGTATCATCTGACTACAAATCAAGCCAGTAAATCTTTTAGCAAACTGTCAGTGGTGTCCTTCTGTTAATGTGAAAAATGTTATACAGGAGAGCACAATCTCAGCTGGCTGATCACTCCTGCTAGCACTTGGCAAGACCTCCAAGTACAGCAACTTCATAACCTTCTAGTATTAAAGGGGAGAGCATTGGTCAGTGCTCGCTGCTAAAAATACAGCATGATTTAAACCTGAAGGCAGTGTTAGAGCTTTTGCTGAAGGTTTACGAGTCTGTGTAAACAGCACGTCTGCCATAAGGAGCAGCGAAGTCTGTAGAATCCTTGTCTAAAACTGTCCTGGCATTAAAGTTTGCTGTGCAAATATCACATAATACCAGAGACAGCTGAAATCTCCTATTTAGGAATTTATGGAACTTATATGTTTGCAGGCGTCAGAAAGTCCTTTTTATATAGCCCCACTGCTTCACTGTACAATATTAATGCACTCTGCTTGAAAAGCCGTAATAAATTATATTTTTAATGCTCTTACCCTGGCTTTCTTAAGATGCATACATTCTTGGCAAACAATCAATAAATAGGGTAATCATGAGCAGAGGCCAAAGAATTTGCTGAAGTGCTGTTTTTCCATTTTTAATAGATAAAGATCTAACAATACGGACTGCTGTGTCTGTTCATTTCAGGATCAATATATTCTTTGTTTTCGCCAAACCGAGGAAAAAATAAATGATTGTACGATAAATGTTATGCATCAGACACAATGAAATTCCTCTGCCTTCTAACTTTGTGCGTTTAATAGTCTTGGTTGCATTTTGCACTTTGCTTAGCAAATGCAAGAAAAATCTGGATTATAAACATACACTGACTATACTGAGAAAAGTAGAGGCTGTTTTAAAACAAACGCCAAATTACACGCTGCGTATTTTGATTTAAATTCGCAAGCCTGCAGCACATGATCAAAAAGGACTTACACATTTTGATAAGCAAAATTTATAGATTATTGTCCATTAAAAGTATTTTCAATGCAAACAAAAGCCATCCATATACAAACATCAATGATTCTAAATGTGCCTTTTCCTTGTGTAAATGTCTAATTACAGCAAACCAGCCACTGAAAAATATGACACCCAAGTTGTTCATTGTTCAATAATGAATTGTACTTAAGAAAATAAACTGCGAAGATTGACATCATAAATGACTTTTCCAATGTGATACCTAAAGATTTACACTCTCTCCTTTAAACCAACTTGCAACTGTTATGGAAATACTGCTGCCCTTCCAAGCTTGGACCATCATTAAGAGGAAAGGCGAGAATTTGTTTTGGGGGTTCGGTATTTACTCTTACATATTTTCGCGTTTCTTAGCCCAACAGTTACTCAAGGAATTAATGCATTATATTACTTCTATTTCAATGTAGGAATTTGCTTTAATCAGGGCAGCTAGCCTTTACCTTAACAAACATCAGACTCCACCCTGTAAAGCAAGATGCTCCACCCAAGCATGAAGCTTACATTTCCCAAATGTGATTTATATCAGACTTGGGAATATACAGTATTTTAGAATGGAGATTTAATCCTGAAATATAAATGAAGTAGAGTCTGCAAAAGTATGCTTTCCCCCCCCAAATATTATAAACCATATTTCTCTAATGCAGAATTATCAAAAGTATTACCTTTTCTAATATTAGTTTTCATCAGGTGTCCAGAGTGTTTTAAAGGCACTCCTTGCATTTTAGTTCCTGTACTTCCAAGTCTTCCTCTTCCTAATGGGCTCCCATTCTGTTCCAAGCGCGCAATTTTGGCTGGTGGACCCTTCGGATCGCTTACATTGTTAGACATTTCTGAATGTTCTTTCCCCTGAGTTGCCTCGTTCAAATGATCCATACTCAGTCCCGCCTCTAAAGATCACCTGCCATGATTCAAAAAAAAAAAAAATATATATGTTGTACACGTGTGCGCATATGTATACGTACACAGCCTGCACATGTACAGAGAGAGATATGTATCGTAAGCTCATAAAGAAGAAGAAATAACTATTTTAACTGGAAAGAAGATGCCTTTTTTTAAAAGAAACAAACTTATTCTCCAAAAATGACCTCATACCCCAGTTTACAGACAGATCGCATCATAATCTATTGGAATTATTTTTTAAAAGCCAACTAGAGTACCCCTTTAAAAAAAAAAAATCTTCAGAGATATTCTACTAAATCTGAGAGAGACTAGGACTCATATAAATGATGGTGATTGTCAAGGTATGTGCTCCAACACAGCTATTGTTACAAATCTCACAGAAAGGTTTGTTATTAATCCTCAGTGTTTTTTACTACGGGGGGGGGAGAGAGAGAGAGAGAGAGAGAGGAACAGAAAAATATTCTAATGAAACATTTCTCGATCTATTTGATTAAAAAAAATGGATGCACAACAATAGGTTGTTAAAACTTTAGTTGAGGGAGCAACAGATTTATTAGAGATGCAGAATACTGTCCATTTACAATCCCTTCCCCCCTTAAAAATAAAAGTTAGATGAGAATTTAGCATTTAACTTCGGAAAGCAGTGGTGGAAGACGGTTGCTTTTGAGTTTCCTAACCAATATTATACAAAGAGTTTATCAACTTTTGCAAAGTTCAAAATCTGCATATGAAATTTCTCAGATGTTAAGCTTTAAGTGTTAAATGGAGTAGTTTATTGAATTAAGAAAAATAACTGAGAAGGTAGCATCTCACAAAAATGTAATGCTGGAAAAAAAACCCCACAATTTCTACAGTACTTTCAAAGCCCTTCAATATAAAAACAAAACAAAACAAAAACAACAAAACCAACAAACAAACCCTGGGTGATGCTAAGTTACATGCTGGAACAGCTACTTGAAACCAAAAACCAGAAGTAATTTCAATAGCAAATTAAGAAAAGTTATATGTTAGCATGCTTATATTTCCCTTTTTATAAACTTTTGAAACCTCCATCCATGAATAACAATTCCAGTTAAATCACTAAAAATCTCCCAAGCCTAGAACATAACGGAGTAAGTTTTAAGGATTTTTGTCACTCATCAGAATCTGTTTTGCCAAGTACATATATTAAAAAAAAAAAAAAAAAAAAATCAGTTGCTGAGAACAGAGACATCTTCCTGGTTATGATTTCATTCACCAATACTGTTGTGCTTGTTAGGTATTTTACCCTACCTTTCTCTGACTGAGAAAGGTGTGACTACACTGACAATTATGTTATGTATATAATATAATCACGAAGGACAGGTGACTAGACATTAATTTATGAACCAGTATTTACACTAGCAAGTACAAATACTAATACTGGGAAGTCGTATTTAGAAAGACTGGTGTGAATCTGATAATTGCTGCTTTCTTTCAGTTGCCTACTAATTCAATACATTTTCTGCACATTTCACAGCAAAGCTATTAAAGCCTAAACACCTTGGGATTTTTTTTCCTGTATACTTCTATGTCGTTAGTATATATGACAATGACAATTCTGTCAACTATTTTTTCCTTGTTTGAACATTGTGCTGTTTTTCCCGATATGCTGAAGAAAGAGGTAATACATTAATCTGAACGTTTACAAGCAACCTCAAGAATGCCACTGAACAGCTAAAGTTCAGAAAATGATTATTTTTCCTTATGCTGTAAGGTGACAGGCTAAGGTTTACCATTCATCTTGATCCCATCTGGTTTAGGTCGTGTGTCTCAATAACAGTAAACGTGCCTATTTTAGCCACTTTTTGAAAAGATTGGGTTTTTTTTACTGTGTTAACTGCAGCCTAAGCAAAGAATTACAGACTCAAACCGTTAACATCTTCCGATGTTTCTGACGATGCTAACATACTATACGACTGCTTCTCTGAGACTGGTCTCTCTCAAGAATAAGAGGATTAACAAAAAAGGGAAAAAAAAAGGGGGGGGGGGCATTTAAAAAAAAAAAAAAGGGGGGGGGGGGCATTTAAAAAAAAAAAAAGGCTGAAACAAGAAAATCCTCGTCACTTTTGGCAACTTCAGAAGTACTCTAATGGCTCTTTGCTACAAAAAGTATCTAGTCATCATGAGTCAGAATCGCACTACATCATGTACAGTGAATAAAAGTGATAGATCGCAGTTTAGTTAATACACTGACTACAACCAAAACACCAAATGGGTCATTTTCGCTTGGCCTGAGAATACCCACCCATCGGCATCCTTTCACCGCTTAGTCATCTTGTAAAAAGCTTTATGTTACAAAGCAAAATTACATGCACATAAAACACCTAATTTACTCATTTAAACTCCATGCCCAAGGCTAAAGTTCACTGAAACCTCAGTTTGGAATAGTGATGAGCAACAACCAGCGTGGCCTGCCCAGGGAGAGGGTTGCAGGGAAGAACTATCATCTCCGCCGGTTCCAGGCCAAAGAGTTTCCCCGGGTTTTCGCATTTAGGCATCTTTCACAACTACAAGTTTTCATCACAGGCACTGAGAGAAGAGCACAATTTCAAGGCACAGCTTCCCAGAGACAGCGTACACGTACGGGCACACCGCGCAATTTCTGAATGAGAGTCGGTGCGGTATCTCCTTTTGTCGCGATGTAACGCCGCCGGTATTATATTATTTCTTTCTCTCCTCCTGAATCAGCCCCCTCCCCATGCCTTTCCCCTCCTCTTCCCTCCCTCCCCCATAAAAACCCATAATCACATTTGAGAGAGGCTCCGCACTTATCCGTTCCATATGGCTCTCCCAATCCAGGCCAAGCTTTCCCTGTGACCTTTTAAAGAGACAAAGAAGCAAAGTACTTATCTAGAAACAGAAACACTGCAGTTTTCGGAGTGAAATTAGCAAAACCGACCCGAAACTCACCACTTCAAAACTTGACAGCATATAAATAACAAAAACAAAGGAGGTTTCCTAGTTTTTTTTTTTTCCCCCCCCCCCTTTTGTGGGGGGGGGGGGGGGGAGGAGGGGGGGCAGCAGACCTGAGGACTACTTCCCCTAATATTCTCTTATTTTTTCTTTTTTTCGTGCTGCTATTTTCCTCTAGGCGGGGAGGGGCAAAAATAGATAGCGAGAAACAGAGTAGCCATGAGCAAAAATGGCAATGGACAAAAAATACGGATTAAATATCTTTCGCGAGCGCCAGTTTTCGAGGTTTAGCAACGGAAGAAGGAGCTGAAGATCAAATTGATCAGACAAGTGTAACGCTCAAAACGAGGAATTCATGATGATAACAATAATAATAATACAAAAAAAATAAAGTAGCAGGTTTAAATTGAGGTGGAGGGTGACTTAAGTCTAGCTATCCTTTCAAAAATAAAACCAATGCGTAGAGGAGCAAGTGAGAAAGGGGGTTATTAAAAAAAGAAAAGCAAAAGGGGGAAGAAAAAAAAAAAAAAAAGGCAGCTTTTCTATCCAGTGTGAAGAGCAGAAAGTCTACTTCTAGGTTGTCACTTACACTATTATTCTCCAATAGGCACCCAGAGGAGCAGCACACACAGAAGGAACCCGCTCCCCTCCCCCTCCGCAAAAATACACACCGTAACAGCCCCCAAACTTTCTGCGGAAACCTCAGCCCCAGAGATCGCTACTGGCGATTAAAAAAAAAAAAAAAAAAAAAAAAAAAAAAGTGTAGAGAAAATTGCAGGAAAAGGCACTAAAATGCCACTTTTAATCTCGCCTTTGCGGTCCGGGGAGGGGAGGAGGAAGCGCTCCCCTCCCCCTCCGCAAAAATACACACCGTAACAGCCCCCAAACTTTCTGCGGAAACCTCAGCCCCAGAGATCGCTACTGGCGATTAAAAAAAAAAAAAAAAAAAAAAAAAAAAAAGTGTAGAGAAAATTGCAGGAAAAGGCACTAAAATGCCACTTTTAATCTCGCCTTTGCGGTCCGGGGAGGGGAGGAGGAAAAAAAAAAAAAAAAAAGGCAGCAGAGAGGACCTGTCTCCTCTCATTTACCGGGGGCTGTGGTGCGAGTGAGGGGGGAGAGGGAGCGGGAGAGGAGGGGAGAGAGAAAAAGAACAGAGGGGAGGAAGGAAACGCACACAACAAGGCACACCACCACCACTACAAAAAGTGACGAGGTTTCACTCCCTCCGAGTCCAAAACCGGGAGAAATTAAAATTTAAAAAAAAAAAAAAGAAAGAAAAAGAAAAACCAGCCCCCTCTGTTAATAAAAAAAAAAAAAGAAAAACCAACAAAAAACTGGTTCTGCTTCTGCAAAGAAAAAAAGAAAAAAAAAAAAGCAAATCTGGGAACTCCGAGAAGAGTTACTCGCAAGAAGGGGTAAAAAATATAAAATAGAAAGGTTGCAAAAAGCCAACAACAACAGAAACCAAGCCAGCAAAAAAAAAAAAAGCCAATAATAATTGAAAAAGAATAATAATGGTAGGCTTTGGGGGTTTCTGGTTCTGCTTCTGCAAAGAAAAAAAGAAAAAAAAAAAAGCAAATCTGGGAACTCCGAGAAGAGTTACTCGCAAGAAGGGGTAAAAAATATAAAATAGAAAGGTTGCAAAAAGCCAACAACAACAGAAACCAAGCCAGCAAAAAAAAAAAAAGCCAATAATAATTGAAAAAGAATAATAATGGTAGGCTTTGGGGGTTTTGTTTCTCCCTTTTTTTTTTTTTTTTTTTTTTTTTTTTTTAATTCTCGTTTCCCCTGGCTGGCTGGGTACGGTTGTTATTTAGGCCGGTTCGGTGGTTGTTGCTGGATGTTACATGGATATATGTGTGTGTGTGTGTGTGTATGTGTGTGTCCCCGGACGGAGCTGCCTTGCTCTGCTCCCTCTCCCCCCCCTCCTCTCGCTCTCGCTCCCTCTCCCTCTCTGTTTCTGTCCCCATTAAATTATTAGTTGACTCATCACTACTCCTCCTCCTGCTGCTGCCGCCGCCGTCCCCTGCTCACAGCCTCCTCTCCGCTACCGCTCGCTGCCGCTGCCGCCGCT